TACTATTACCATGAAGATTATTAATGTTCTGTACTTCAATTTGGTTGGGCCAGGTCTACCAGCTGCTAGATATGGGATTGGATATTGTTATACTTGTTAATGAAATCAGAATGCTAAACTTTTACTGATTTACAAGTAATCCTTTACCCAAATCATGGGCAAAATAGGTGTGTTTATCAGTTTTTCTTTTCCTCATTGTAAACTTTCCCATCGATGCAGGTTGCTCACACGAAAAGAGAAGGAGATTGCTGTNAGCTAGATATGGGATTGGATATTGTTATACGGGTTAATGAGATCAGAATGTTAACCTGTTACTGATTTACAAGTAATCCTTTACCCAAATCATGGGCAAAGTAGGTGTTATCAGTTTTCCTGTTCCTCATTGTAAACTTTCCCATCGATGCAGGTTGCTCACACGAAAAGAGAAGGAGATTGCTGTAGTCTCACATAATGGACTCTTGTTTCATACAGTGAATGCATTTGGAACAGACTGTCATCCTTTTGTGAAGAAGGAAATTTGCAAACGGTAATTTTATTATGCTTTCTTTCCTCACCAAACACCGGCGGACTGGCCATTTCTTTTCTTTCTTTCTTTCTTTTTTTTTTTTTTTTTGGTCGTTGAATTGTCCCTTCACTTTTCCTTGGCATGTAAGAGATTGCACAGTTTTTAAAATCACATAAAACACTGTTCTTGGTATTAAGTTATTGCTAACTTAATACTAAGTATTTGACGAGAAAAGAAAAGATAAATCTAGAAATTTTATAGCAAGAGGGACTACTTTTCTAAAAGTAGCACATGGTTTAACAGTTCTGTAAATCGGTAGAACGTTCTACAATGCTTTGATGGCAATCAGAAGCAATCCAATGGAACAGAAAATCTTCAACAAGTATTTCAAATGTTTGTTTTTGCATTACATGCAGGTTTGCTAACTGTGAACTCCGGTCTATGGTGATTGTTGACAGGAGGTAAGCAATGCAGTTTACCATCTTCCTTTGCACATCAAGACCTTTTTTGTTGGCCTCTCCCAAGTTAATTTGATTGTTCTTTATGTTTCCCAGCATGATCGGATCAGATTCTTCGATTACTAATTACCCAGGAAAAATACCTTCTGCTGCTAATTTACCTAGTGAGGCCGCAGATGAGAAAATTCTGGAGAAAGATGACAACCTCAATGATAAATGATAACCATTGGTATTGACATCATTCATTACTGTGTCATCATATCTACGAGGATTGCTCAAGTACACCAATTATTTTTGAGTAAGTGTCATCATCATTGAAACAATATAAGACTTGCAAAGAATTCTTGGGATTCTGGGTTAGCTTCTCTTTCCAATGTGCAAGCCACATTCTACAGAACCCTTTTCTTAATGTTATGGTCTAATTAAGGTTTTGAGCCTAAAATTGTTCTTGAAAAGGGGAAAAATAGGAATGGAAATAATCTCATCAAGTGGCAGCTTCCATGGAAATGAACTAGATATCTAGTTCCCTTTGAGGATGTCATAAAATTGCAGAGCCAATATGTTCCTGGGGTCAGCAGCACTTGCCCGAAAAGAGCCAATATGATCTTAGCTCATCAATGTATAGGAATTATGATATGATCCTATTAACGTTAAAAAAAAGTTTTGCACTATCAGGGTAGTCAATTACGATTAACTTTTACTAGTAACAAGTATGGACTAATAACCTTCAAAAACATGGTAAAAGACCTGTGACAGTAGGTATAACTACGAGCTTTTGACATAATTGGTAGTTCGGTCAAAAAATATATCACTTGCTGGCCCATAGTTTTACATTATAACTTGTAGTCAAAAATAAATAACATATGCTAAACAACAGCTAGTTTTTGAGCGGCCCTTTGTCCCTTCTTCACTCTTTAGTCCTTCATGTAAAATTCAACAAAAACTAGTCTCTACCTCCTAAAATGTGGAATCTAACCAGCAGTAGCAATTATTTGATTTTTGGAAATGCAATTAGTTGATTTTAGATAAAACAAAGGAAAGCATTTCAAAAAGAACAGTAAAGATAAATTTGTAATGATAAATCACTATTTTGATGCACCTAACATAGAAAAATCAAAGGACCTAGAATTCTTCCTCGTCGGTGACCTTAGCTATTGCCGATCACTATCAACACCTCTTTTACAAATCTCTTTTTTTTTTCCCCACCGAAAATGACCCAAAGATAGAAAATTCTCATGGTTAAAATTGTATAATCAATGTGTGTGTATATATATATATATATATTGTATAGTTAGTGTATACTTTATGAAAACTCAAAGTGTATACGAATACACATATTATACAAAAGATACATTATATATGCATTTATTGTATATGAGATACGCTAATTATACATATCATATACAAAGACTTCCGAAATAAGATAGTAGCAATAACCACCTGTATTTATACACTTCACCCTTCACTTCTTCACAACAAATGTACATAAATTCATCCCAAAAGAATCATGAAGTTCCAACCTCCAAAACGGACAACAAAACACCATTAAACCACCACCAACATTTACATTGTATAAATAATGTATATAAATTATATAACAATACATATACACCTAGTATATAACATATATACATTATATATACATTTTTGAGGTGGCGGCAAATAAGTCTGAGCCAGGAATATACACTAATGATACATTAAGGATACACTAAAAATAAAGGATACACTTTATGCAAAATTTATACAATATAGTAATATATTGTTAGACCCAAACTCCCACTGGAGTCGCGACGACGCCTAACACTGCTTGCTAGGCAAGCCAACAGTTTCACAATAACAATGAACTCAATAAATAGAACTTAATGATCTCAATAGCGGAAATATTATGAAATGTCTGAGAAAAATAACGATAACACTACTACAACCATCCCAATGATCTGGTGTCAACGAGTACATGAGCACTACAGAATCTCAAAATACATGGCCATATCCTCAATACAACTGTCCGAACAGTAGAACAGTAATAGTAGAAATAAATGAAAGAGAACTTCAAGGCCTGCGAACGACATAATAACTACCTCGTAGTCTCCACAAGCTGGTATCGGTGCGAACTCTAGCAATCACCATGCCTGAAAGTACCTGGATCTGCACATGAAGTGCATAGTGTAGTTTGAGTACAACCAACTCCATGTACTCAATAAGTAACAAACCTAATCTTGGGGTGAAAGTAGTGACGATCTTGGAAGAAAGTCAGTGTCCAACACCAACAATCAATAATAACTCAGCATATAATGAAAGCAGTAAAAGTAAATAACTCAAAGATATCATGTGCAACTCGTTCACAATTACAGAAAAATTTAGACATGCTTCCAAAGTATGACAGTTAGAGTCCAATCTTTCATCAAAATCACTAATTCATAAATTTATCAAGGAAATCTGTGATTCTTCCAACTTTCAATAACGGATAGGACATTTCAATTACCATTTAGCGTGAGAAAAATGCATCTCTATGCCTATATGTCAAATATACATGTCAAGTCAATAACATCACAGTGAAACCATCAAGTATAATCACATTCATCACGCTCACGGCGCCTGACACAAGTTCCCCTTACAATATCGCACACAACCACACTCAGCACTGTATGGGTGCCCCTCACCAAAGCACATATATAGCCCTGTACATGCGCTCACTATGAATACCAGACTCCAAAGGGGCGGATCCTTGCCCAAGCGCTAATCAATAATCAATATCACATAGCCCGATCGTGAGGCATGGTGTACGCGTCGCCCCTAGTCAGTACCACTTAGCCCAATATGGGCCTGGCATACGCGTCACCTCAAAATCAATACCAAATCGGCTCTATGGCCAAAGCTCAGTCATCAACCGCTCAAGTCTCAGTTAATCATATCTCACAGTACTCAGTTCAACAGTGTTACACATATGAGGCATCAATAACATGTGGAAAATCAAAATAAGAATGCACTGAGACAGAGAAATCATACACGGATATAACATCATGACTGAAAGTATGTTTACAATTAAGGCAAAAAACTCAAAACAACAAGATTAACCCTATCATGTCTTAACAAATAAGCACATAGCCTAGACATGATTTCTGACATGGATGATAACTCAAATAATCATACAATTAGAGAAAATAAGGGTACAACGAGGCATGATAGCAAAACAACTCTCATAGTAGTTTGAAGTCTACCCGGATCATGAATATCTCGGTGCACGCACACACGTTTGTCACCTAGCATGTGCGTCACCCCAACACATCCCAAGTATCATAGTTCACACGGTTAACTACCCTCAAATCAAGTTTAGATATGTTACTTACCTCAAAATGCGTGAATCAATACTCCAAAGAGCCCTTCCTGTGCGAATCGACTTCCAAATGGCTCGAATCTACTCACAAACAACTTAATATCATCAAATAATGCCATAGGAAACAACCCCAAATAATAAAGTTTTGATCTATATAAAAATCAAAAAGTCAACCCGGGCCCGCACCCCGGAACCCGACTAAACTCATAAATACTGAATACCTTATTCGAATACGAGTCCAACCATACCAATTTTGACTCCGAATCGGGGTTCAAATCCTCAAATTACATTTAGAAACGTTTTTTTATAACTAAAATCCCCAATTTCTTCACATAGATTCATCAATTAAATGCTAAAAATAAGGATGGAATCATGGATAATAATCAAATCCGAGTTAAAAACACTTACCCTAATTCAAATCGTGAAAATCTCCTCCAAAATCGCTCAAATCCGAGCTCCCAATCTAAAAAAGTGATAAAATAACTCAAAGTCCCGAAAATGATATTTTAAAGGTCTGCCCAGGCATATGCATCGCGATCGCGGGACAACCCTCGCTATCGCGAAAAACAAAAATTCCAGCTCCCAACAGACCTTACGCGAGCGCGGTCCCAGGCTCGCGATCGCAACTCACTAGCTGCGAAGCCAACACGAGCGCAGACCATCCAACGCGATCGTGAAGTCTAAAACTTGACGTGCCCGACCATCCTTCCATTCTACGCGAACGCGAAGGCCAATGCTCCTCAAGCTCCGTGAACGCAACCTCCACATCGCAAACGCGTAGAGCAAAACTCACGTCACCAATTACCCTCCGCGATCGCGACCCTTCTTCCGCGAAACAATTTATGCAACAGAACACCAAAAGACAATTTATGCAAAACAAGGGAAAATGGCTCGAAACCATCCCGAAACACACCAGAGGGCCCCGGGACCCAGTCCAATCACACCAACCAATCCCAAAATATAATACGGACCTGCTCGAGGCCTCAAATCATATAAAACAACATCAAGTCAACTCGGAATGACCTAAAATTTTGCACACAAGTACCAAATGACACAACAGACCTATTCCAACTCCCAGAACTCCAATCTGAACCCGATATCATCAAAGGAAACTCCCGGTCAAACCTATGAACCTTCCAAACCTTCAACTGTTCAACTTTCGCCAAAAATCACCAAATCAACGGACCTCCAAATCCAAATTCGAAAATACGCCTAAGTCCAAAATCACCATACGAACCTATTGGAACCATCAAAATATCATTCCGGGGTCGTATACACAAAAGTCAAACTCCGGCCAACCTTTGCAACTTAAGCCTCGAACCAAGGGACTAAGTGTCCCAATTCACTCCAAAACCTCCTCGAACCCAAACCAACCAACCCTGTAAGTCACATAACATCAAATATACATATGTAAAGCATCAAATATGGGTAACAAGATTCAAATACGCAAAATGACCGGTCGGGTCATTATATTCTCCCCCTCTTAAATAAACGTTTGTCCTCGAGCGAGTCTAGAATCAAACTTGGAGTCCCATAAAGGTGAGGATATATGCTCCGCATCTCCCGATCGGTCTCGCAAGTAGCCTCCTCGACCAGATGACCTCTCCAATGAACCTTCACCGATGCTATATTCTTCAATCTCAATTTTTGAACTTGCCGGTCCAAAATGGTCACCGGCTCCACATCATAAGTCAAATTCTCGTCCAACTGCACCGTGCTGAAGTCTAATACATGTGACGGATCCACATAATACTTCCGGAGCATGAAAACATGAAACACTGGGTGAACTCCTGATAGACTTGGTGGCAAGGCAAGTATGTAAGTCACCTCTCCAACTCTCTCAAGTACCAAAAATGGGCCAATATATCGAGGTCCCAACTTGCCCTTCTTCCCGAACCTCATCACACCCTTCATGGGCGAAACTCCGAGTAGAACCTTCTCACCCACATATATGCAACATCACGAGCCTTCATGTCTGCATAACTCTTCTGCCTGGACTGCGCTGTACAAAGCCGCTCCTGAATCAAATTCACCTTCTCTAAAGTATCACTGACCAAATTAGTGCCGAACAACCTAGACTACCCAGGCTCAAACCAACCAACCGCAGAATGACATCGTGTCCCATATAAGGCCTCATATGGAGCCATCTGGATACTCGACTGATAGCTGTTGTTGGAGGCGAACTCTGCTAGCGGTAGAAATTGATCCCATGATCCCTTGAAAT